CTACTCTACTAGGAATTCTGAGACACGGCCCCTGCCCACAAGGACACACACACATACACACTCATACACACATACACACATTCGTCTTTTACACACACACACAGTCACGTACACACACCAACACACTCTCCCATACACACACCAGTCTCTTACACACACACACACCAGTCTCTTACACACCCCCCACAAATACACACACTCTTACACACCCTGGAACACACCCATACCTGTCCTAAAACACAGCCCTGGGCCCTTACAGGTCTTAACTCATTTACTCCTCACCACAGCCCTTTGAGAATACAACTGGTGTGCCCGTGGTAAAGGTGAGGACACGCAGGCACAGAGAAGGAAAGTACTGTGCTCAAAGCCCCCACGCGAATCAACGGTAGTGTGCTGGGGCACACCCCTCCACCCCACCCTCATTCTAACAGGAAAGCAGAGGAGCCTTTCCTGGTGGTGGCCAGAGTGCTCCAGGTGCCCTTCCCCTCCATCCTGTGGCTCAGCGCAGGCCGCCTTGGAGCCCGAAGCCTGACACTTGCAGCACATGGCCAGCCTCTCCAGCTGAGAACCGACCCTGGCCCAGAGGGTGTCACTGGGTTCCAGGGTCCCAGGGCCTTTCCAATTCAGAGCAGGACCAGCTCCTGAGCCTCTGCTGTGCGCGTTCCTCGCTCACCGAATAAGCTGATACCTAATCAGGCTCTGAAGCACCGGCCCCAAAGACCCAACCCAACCAGGAAGAAACCCAGCAGGACGCAGGCCCAGGGGCACGCTGTCCCCCGTTCCTGTCGGTTTCATTCATTTTTTAAAAATCATTTTATCGGGGGCTCGTACAATTCTTATCACAATCCATACATCCATCCAGTGTGTCAAGTACATATATACATTTGTTGCCCTCATCATTCCCAAAGCATTTGCCTTCTACTTGAGCCCTCAATATCGGCTGCTCATTTTCCCCCTCTTTCCCCCCTCCCCCCTCCTTCATGAACCCTTCATAATTCATAAATTATTATTATTTTGTCATATGTTACACTGTCTGATGTCTCCCCCCGCCCTCTTCTCTGCTGTCCATTCCCCAGGGAGGAGGCTATGCGTAAATTCTTGTAATCGGTTTCCCCTTGCTACCCCACATTCCCTCTACCCTCCAGGCATCACCACTCCCACCACTGGTCCTGAAGGGATCATCTGTCCTGGATTCCCTGTGTTCCAGTTGCTATCTGTACCAATGTACATCCTCTGGTCTAGCCAGATTTGTAAGGTAGAACTGGGATCATGATAGTTGGGGGGGTGGGGGGAAGCATTAAAGAACTAGAGGAAAGTTATATGTTTCATTGTTGCTACCCTGCACCCTGACTGGCTCATCTCCTCCCCACAACCCTTCAGTAAGGGGGTGTCCATTTGCCTACTGATGGGCTTTGAGTCTCCACTCTGCACTCACCCACATTTACAAGGATATGATTTTTTGTTCTTGGATGCTTGATACCCGATCTCTTCGCCAGCTCGTGGTCACACAGGCTGGTGTGCTTCTTCCACGAGGTTTCATTCTTTTTGAGCGTATAGACCCATGTGTGGTGTCCAAGGACGCTCTCAGGCAGTGTCTGCCGCGATGCCCTGCTGCTTCCCCACTGGAAGTGGGGTCTACCTGTGTTCTGAGCTCTGTCCCTTGCTGCCCTGGGTTGAAGGTTGGTGGACTTGACTTACCCACCCACCCTGCCTGCCACATGATAAATCATCCTTCAGCTGTGGCTGTGCCCATCTTTAAACGCTGTAAGAGTGTTCATTCAGCACCTACCGTTGCTCAGGAGGTGAGGGGATCTACTGGAGATCGTCCCGATTGCTAGGGGTGTGTGTGGAAAAGATGATTTGGGGGCCTCAGTGGAGGGCCTTGATTGACCCCAAGAGAGCCTTGATCATTAGGCTGCAGACCACACTTCCCAGGGAGGGAGTTGCTGTCGAATCACCGATTCTGAGATGGAGAGCCTAGAGGTCACCTGGAAGAGCCCCTGTCCGGATTCTCCTCTGGTCCAGCTTTTTCTCTCCCACCCTCAGGGCTCCTGTGTCCAAACCAGGGTCTTTGACTATCCGTGGCTTTGCCCAGCAGCTGATACTATATTGTCCCTGCTGGGAGCCACCAAGTATTCACTTGCTAATACTGACCAGCACTGACCGGGGAACTTGCTCTGTGCTTAGCACAATCCTACCTGGTTCACAGCGTCGGCTGACTCTTCCAGCAGCCCCTCAGGGGAACCACTGCAAAGGACTCCATTTAACAGCCAGGGCACTGGCAGACCCAAGGTCACACAGCTAAGAGGAGCAAGGTCAGAATTGAACCAGGCAGTCTGGTTTCTGAGCAGCCTTCAGAAGGGTGTCTCCCCACCTGGAGGCATGACCACCATAGGGATGGGTCACGAGAAATGCCACACCAGGCGGAAAATGCCCACTTCCATTTGGAAGGGGGGGGGTGGTGGCCAGGGCTGGTATCTGGGCATGAGTAGTGTGGGGGTCATGGCTGGTGTCTGCAATGTTGACTGCCAGTGTGGCATCTCTGTGGACTCTTCGGTCCCCACAAGAAGGGCCCCACAGGTTTCCTAGACCAGACCCCAGTGTCTTGGGAGAGAGACAGGAAGATATATAAAAATCCAAAAAACACAGGCTGCAGAGACAGAAAGACCCCCTCCGCTCTTGCCTTCCCTCACTTCCTGTCTGCTCAGCCTTGACCATGGTACCTTACCCTCGCTGAGCCTCAGTTTTCCATATCTTTAAACTGGGTACAAGGATAGTACCTGCATCCTAGGGTTTTTGTGGAGATTGACAATCACTCCTTAAATGGCTTATAGCAGCACCTGGCACGGAATGTGAGCTGCTAGGAAGTTAGGCCTCAAGCAATGGTGTCCCCATACAGAACAAGATCAAATGCTGCCTGGTCTTGTGCCATCCTTTTGATGGTCCGTAGGGTGGACCAGAAGCAGATCATCACACCGTACTTCTTAGTTTCTGTAAGTCGGGAGGCATCATAGCAACAAACCAGCCTCCCCTGATAGGCAGGTGGTGGCAACACCTAAGGTGGACTGGCAGGGTCTCCTGCATAGGTGACATTTTGGCCATAAATAGGAGCTACTGTGGTCATGCAGCCTGCCTGCGCCAGAGTTTAGAAACCCTGTGAGGTTGTATTGTTTGTCATCTCGGAGCAGATACCTTATCTCCATGTTCCAGGCCCACGTTGGCACCCTGTTTATCTAAGGGCAGACATCTGGTTTCCATAGCCTCGGGTCTCCTCCCCCACCCTTGCATGAGAGTTGTGGTTACTGTTGTGGGGTGCCACTGAATTGTGACCCAAGGCCCATCGTGACCCAGGGTCCTGTACTGTTTGGGCCCTCGTTGCAGCCTGGGGCAATCCATTTCAAGGAGAATCTTCCATGCTTTTAGCCAAGCACAATGTCCTTTATAGCATTAAGTACTGCCCCACCCCCGCTGCGGTCACTGGATATTAACAGAGTCTGGGACACTGCAGTGGGAAGTGGGAGAGGCTGTCCCCTGTGGGTGCTGGTAGGGGTCCCGAACCCCTTGGTGCTGCAGCCCCATTTGGACCCATAGGTTGGGGAGGCTTATGGGCCTCTCCTAGGAAGTCTGTTCTTAAATGCATAAAAACAAAATGCGAACCAGAGACCAATCATATTGAAACACAATTATTTGTTTTTAATGTGCTATAGTAATATGTGTATATACCTTAAATAACAGAACCCAGTGATGGGTGAAACATCCACCATCATTTTACATGAAGCTGAGTTAAATCAGATTTAGAGAACTCTTTCACAATTAAATTTGTGGTGCAACATTGAGCACTGGTACTGACACACTCACAGGTCCTGCTACTGTATTGCCTACTGTAATTCTTAAAGAGAATTACTCTTTAAGATTTACTTGAGATTGCTGAAATGAAAATATCTTCTTCCCACCCACATTTCTTGCAGTCTCCCAGCCACTAGTCCAGAAGGCCCTCGGTGACCACTCACATGTAGGACTTTCAAAGGAGACCCCAGGTCACCCAGGCCCCCCACCCCCACCCCCGCCCCACCCCGGGCACACGCACAGCAATGTTTCACTGCAGCAATCCACACAGAGAGAGTGCAGTGCGGCATTTCAACAGCCTTTCCTTCATCAGGCAAGTGCTGAGTGCTGGCTGGTGTCCGGCCCTGTGCTTGAGAATGGAGCTCAAAGTCCAAGGAGGTGAGGCGCTGACCTTCAAGACGCTCACCATCCGTCTGCTGAAGGAAGAGTGTCTGAGGGCCCACTCTGGACATGCAGAATGTCCGCAACAACGAGGAACGTGTCTGCTTATCCTGGTCACCCAAGAGTGCAAATGATCATCAACTGGGCGCTTCCCCAGCCGTGATCTTTCAGGAAGCTGGTCCCCAGGCCTACCTCCTGCGGAGCCACCAGACGGGCTCAAACTGCCAACTGAAGTCAGTCATGTAGCACAGAACATTAGTGTCACCCAGTGTGTGTGCGTGCGCACACATAAAACATATGTACGATACCCACTTGTGTATGTGCACACATACATACGTACCCAGGAGTGTGCACACACACACATATATACAGACCTACATATATACATATGATGCCCAGGTTCGCTCAAGTTGGAGATAGCTGGTCACACCCATCACATCACTCCTCTGGAAAGAAGTCTGCGGGGCCATGGAAACGGTACACCCTTTGCCCAGGGCTCTCCCTCCTGGGAATTCATCCCGCAGGAGCAAGTGGGCAGGAAGGAGAAAGGGTGGAGACAAAGAAGGTTCTCCCCCTCCTGCTCCTGAAGCTGTGCTCCTCTTGTGCAGGGGCTAGGTCCCGCTCAGCTTGCACCCCATAGGCTGGCCCAGGGTGGCAGTGAACCCCTGTGGCCTGGCCAGCTCACCGCCACACAGTTCCAACAGACAAGAGGAGGAGGTGTGGGAGGAGAGCCTGGAGCCGCCCACTGACCACACGCCCGTCTTCTCTTCCAGCCGCCACGATGTCCGGAGAGATGGACAAGCCGCTCATCAGCCGCCGCCTGCTGGACAGCGACGGCAGCCTGGCAGAGCCTCCCAGCGAGGCCCCCAAAGTGGGCATCGTGGGCAGTGGGGACTTTGCCCGCTCCCTGGCCATCCGCCTGGTGGGCTCTGGCTTCAACGTGGTGGTGGGGAGCCGCAACCCCAAACGCGCGGCCAGGCTGTTCCCTTCGGCAGTCCGGGTGGCTCTGCCGGCCGATGCGGTGAGCTCCTCGGAGGTCATCTTTGTGGCTGTGTTCCCCGAGCACTACTCCTCGCTGTGTGCTCTCGGCGAGCAACTGGCTGGCAAGATCCTGGTGGACGTGAGCAACCCCACCGAGCAGGAGCACCTTCAGCACCGCCAGTCCAATGCTGAGCACCTGGCCTCCCTCTTCCCCGCCTGCACCGTGGTCAAGGCCCTCAACGTCATCTCGGCCTGGACCCTGCAGGCTGGCCCGAGGGATGGGAACAGGCAGGTAGGTCCACGGGGGACGAACCACCCTGTTCACGATTGATAAGCTAACTTTCATGGCTCCGCTGTGCCAGGCTCCACAATGTGCTGCCAAGTGTCATGGTTAGAAAAGGGAAAATGGGGGCATTCATGAATGCACCAAGAGTCCCACACCTGGTCAGTTGAGAGCTGAATGCAGACCGTAGGAATTTGCCATGGTGAGTGGGCTTCCCTGGGGGCAGGGTGACTCTCTCCTGTTACTGCCTAGAGTCCAGAAGAAGAGGGATTTTGCCTTTAGCATTGGACGCAGAGAAAGTAACACACGTGGGTGCCAGGCCCTGAGGGCGACAAGCTTCCTCTCAAGGGCAGAGTGGCTTTCTCAGAACAGGCAATTGGTTTTTCTGGGGGCAGAAGATGGCCGGCCAGAACCTTCTCAGATCAGCTAGCAGTGCATGCCTTTCTCGGCAGGAAGAGCTCTTAGGGAGTCACAGTCCTTTCTAGTACCAAGAGGCCATCTACATTCCCCTGGAGGAAGTGTGAGAGCGGAGGAGGAAGGGGTCAGGTCAAGTCACTCCGCCCCCCTGCGTAGTTTCACACCGGGCCCTGTGAAAGGGTACCAGAAGGCCTGCCACCTCAGGGTGTAGGCGCGGTCCTGGGACCTCCCATGTGTGGACCAGCCAGGGAGCAAAGGGGTATATTGGGTGTCCGGGCCAAGGGGAACAGAGCAAAAGACTGCGTGGTGGCCCGCGGGCTGGGCTGAAATGGTGTGGAAAGGGACAAGGAGGAAGGAGGGTGTTCTAGGCTGAAGAGCCAGTCCGACAAAGACACACATGTAAGGAATGAAAGGAAGCTGGGCCCTCAGCTTCCTCATCTGGAAAAATAGGGATCCTAGTACATAGCTGGCAGGCATGCTGGGGGGTTCAGGGATCGTGTATGTAAAAGCGGACATGTAGTCAGTGCTTGGCTAACTTTTGCAGTCCAGGCGGCCGTCGTCTCGTCAGTAAGGCAGGGCTCATGATGAGGCCACTGGTGAGCTGCTGTGGGAGCTCCTGGGAGAAACAGTGGGCTACGAGGCTGGCCCAGGTGGTGGAGGCCTTGCGTGTCCGCTCAGAGCCCGAAGGGGGACGGCTGGCTTTGGGTGGAGCTGAGGTCACACACTCGGGGACACGTGGAAAGGGCTATTTCTGATCCTGAGCTTGTGTTAACTAATGATGGGAGAGTAATTTGGAAATGGATGGTGGTGAGGATGCACCACATGATGCGCGTAATGAGTGCCACAGAATTACACATGTGAAAAATGATGGATGGGCCAACCTTTCGTGTTACGTACATATTGAGCTGAGTGGCCCTAGTGCCGCCCATGGCGCTCTAACGGTCCTGTTCAAAGGCCCATGGGATCTGACGATGGCTACTGATGTTCGTGAGCTGGGCGAGATGGTCCACCCTGATGGCTTCCTTGGCAGAGGGAGCTCCTGAGCAGGTTAGGAGAAGCTGGGACCCCACAGGAGGCTCGTCCCCACGGCCTGACCCCTGAGGGGGCTCAGTCACCTTCTACGCCCAGCTTCCCTGCCCCTCTCCACTTGAGTGTCCTCAGCGGTCAACTAGAAGTGGTCTAGATGCTAAGGTGCTGTGGCCTGTCTAATTGCTCCCCTTGTCCTGTCCCCACAGGTGCCCATCTGCAGCGATCACATGGAAGCCAAACGCACAGTCTCAGAGTTGGTGCATGCCATGGGCTTCTTACCAGTGGACATGGGCTCCCTGGTGTCGGCCCGGGAGGTAGAGGCCATGCCTCTGCGCCTCCTCCCTAGCTGGAAGGTCCCCGTCCTCCTGGCCCTTGGGCTCTTTGTCTGCTTCTACATCTACAACTTCATCCGGGATGTGGTGCAGCCCTACGTGCAGGAGGGCAAGAACAAGTTCTACAAGCTCCCTGTGTCTCTGGTCAACACGACGCTCCCCTGCGTGGCCTACGTGCTGCTCTCGCTGGTGTACCTGCCTGGCGTGCTGGCAGCCGTCCTGCAGCTGCAGCGTGGCACCAAATACCTCCGCTTCCCGGACTGGCTGGACCACTGGCTGCAGCACCGCAAGCAGATCGGCCTGCTGAGCTTCTTCTGCGCCCTTCTGCACGCGCTCTACAGCTTCTGCCTGCCCCTGCGCCGCTCCCACCGCTTTGATCTCGTCAACCTGGCCGTGAAGCAGGTACGCCACCCGGACCTCTCCTCCGTCCAGTACACCCCTGTCTGCACGGAGCCGCACTCAGCGCTGTGCGAGGCGGTGCAGAGCGCCTGGTGCGCAGAGGTCCAATCACACACTGCGGTCTGTTGACCGGTCCGGCCCATGTCTGAGTGCACGACCAGTGACCAGAACTCAGCCGACTGGGTGGGACAGAATAGGCCAAACAGAAGAAGCACAGTAGAGAGAGGGGCATTTAGAACAGCGGTTCTCAACCTAGGGGTCGAACGATCCTTTCACAGGGGTCGCCTAAGACCGTCGGAAAACATCTTTCCAATGGTCTTAGGAACCGAGATACCGCTCCTCTATCCGTCTCCAGGCGGGTCCGCCCACATGCAGATACGCCCACATACAAGTACTCGGGCGTGAAGACTAACCCATGCTACACCATGCTTCCAGACAAAATTTCATTTATTTGTCATTAGAAATAAATATTTCACGATCTATAATTACATATTGTCTTGGGACTAATCACTATGCTTTAATTATGTTCAATTTATAACAATGACAATACATCCTGCATATCAGATAGTTACATGACGATTCATCAGCGTAGCAAAATGACAGTGATGAGGTAGCAACGAAAGTAACTTGATGGCTGGGGGGGTCACCACAACATGAGGAACTGTCTGAAAGGGTTGTGGCATGAGGAAGGGTGAGAACCGCTGATTTAGAAGGTCCTGAGTGCTAAAAGTGAAAATAAAACGGAAGTGAGAAGCATGTGGTCTAAAGGATGGGCAGGGAGGACCTCGCTGAGTAGGTGATGCCCACATCAGGCACAAAGGAGGGTGAGCCCAGAGAGCAGCAAATGCAAAGGCAGGGTGCGGCGGGTCAGGGTGGGGGTCCTGCCTGGCATGTTTGTGGAGCAGCATGGAGGATACATGGCTGGAGCGGTGTGAGCGGAGGGGTGGGGCGCAGGAGATGGAGCCTCGCTGACAGGTGGAGGGCAAATCCAGAGAAGACTTCAAGGGCCAAGGAAGGACTCTGGCCTTTGCCTCTGAGTGAAGTCCGGAGGCAGTGGCAGGTTTTGAGTAGAGGCATGGTCATCGGACTCGTGTTTTCATTGGCTCATGCTGCCTGCTGGTTGAGAACAGGCAAAACCCCAAACCCAACGCACGACTCATCGTGAGCCTCCGTGAGGTTTCCAGTTCAAACTACCAGCCGCCCTCAGGAGAAAGACAACCCTGTGTGCTCATCTTTGATTTTGTTGTGTGTCAGAACTGCTATGGCCCCAAATCACAGCAAATAGTTTCTGAGACTATGTGTTAACCAGAGCAAACAGCCTCGTCTTTCTCTGGAGGAGCAGCTGGTGAGTTTGAATGGCAGACCTTGTGACAAGCAGACCAATACTTCTCCCCCAGAAGACTGGGTCAAAAATCAAAGCAGGGAGACCAGTGAGGAAAGTGTCCGTACCTCCAGAGGAGAGACCGTGGTGGCCTGGGTGGCACGGGGGAAGCAGAGGACCGAAAAAGGTATTGAGTGTGTGTTTTTGAGGCACCAGTATACGAGGGTGCCAGTGTAATCTGCTGAGAGGTGAGGGAAGCTGCCGGCAAGAGGATCTTTGTAGAGGAGGATTATTGGTTCATTCAGAAAAATTCCTCAGTGTTCTTTGATAGCCATCCTAGGAGAGCATCGACCCAAGCAGGTGGGAAGAGAGGTGGCCTAGGCTGGCACATGCCCCACAGAAAGAGACCCTCTGATCCAGTTATAGGAGCCTCCACCAGAAGCTGTGGGTGGAGGGGGATCTGCAGGTGTGGGGAAACGAACACAGACAGGGCTTCTTGCAGACCTGAGTTCAAGGGTTAAGAATCAGGCCCTGTGAGGGCTCCTATAACTGGAGCAGAGGGTCTTGAAGGATGTTTTCTTACTCATTTCTAAAAAGAGCCAGTCCGTGCAGCAAGAGGCTCTGTGTGGCTCCCTGGGATCGTGGGATCGGATCTGAGCAAAGCTTACAGCCCAGGATGAGGCAAGCCTAGGGACGTGGAAAACCCATGTGTCCCCCTCCTTCCCAGAGCAAAAAGAAGCCACTGCTTCCTCCTTCCCTTACCCCTGTCCAATCACCTGTCTCTGAATCCTTTGCCCTCTTCAACATTATGCTAACCCAGTTTTGCCACGATACAAATACCAGGGCACAGAGGGTACATACAAGCTAATTCTCCCTGAGTCCAAACCCTACTGGGGTGACAGGCCCCAGTGAGGTTGCCAGGCAACCATTTCTCCCACAGAACGGGGTTGTTGTTGTCTGGAGACACCAAAGTCCTGTCATGCACAGGGGCTTAAACTTGTTCTGCAGAGTCCCAGGGCTGGCGTGTGTGTGTGTGTGTGTGTGTGTGTGTGTGTGTGTGTGTGTGTTTATATGGGGGCTTAATACCTGAAGTGGTGAACTGCCTGAGCCTGGAGGTATTCAAGGAGCTGTGGGGGAATGGCAGTGGGCCACATAATCCACCAGGATCAGCCATGCTCTCAGGTTCCACAACTGTGGACACCCGTCCTATCACAGCCATGCCCACAGTAGGGCCTGCCCCACGGGGACTTCCCCAGCGAGTTCCTGGCTGCCTGGCCACGTGGTCTTCTTCCTGGCAATGCACGTGGACCTTCTGGGTAAACAGAGTTGGTTAGACTTTCCCAGGAAGTCATTTCTCCACGTTTCCTTAAGCCCCCTGAGCCCAGAGACTAGGAGGGGAAACTATCCCTGCTGTAGAGAAACCTGGAGACTTGTTATTAGCAGTAGTCTGGCCAACAACGGCCAGTATTTACATAGCTCTTTGTGATTTGCTTGTGTGGTAGAAATGCATTTCAAGATCAAAATCAAGGACAAGGTCTAATCCCCTCCTGAAAAAAAAATGCCCGCCCCCCCACCAAAAGCTGCAGGGGTGTCATTGTCTCTAGGTCTTTCCATTTCTCTCACAGATTTTCCAACCATTTTTGGCTCAGCCCACAGGATTCATTTTTATTTTAGCTTCTGGTAACTGGACTTCTGTTATTATTTGTTTCCCCTTCCTGCTGAAACCGGTTCTCAAAAACTGGGATGAGTCACTTCTGTTTTGTGAAGGGGGACTTGCCACCTTCCGCCTAAGCGCACTTCCTAATGCAAACACTGTGCCTCGTGGGGCTGCTGGAATAGAAGGGCCGGTCCTTCGTGGTGCTTCTTGGAGCACCGCTTTCGTTCCAGCAGCGCTGCCATCCGATCCGGCTGGAAAAGCATGCTGTAATGGAAGGGCCCGGACGAAAGCTCTTCCCCAGGTGCGCACTGTGCTGCCTGCCGTGGGATGCCAGGGCCAGAGGGGCTCAGCAGCAGGGACATTCTGGGGTGTGGGTGGGAGGTAGGAAAGAGTTTGTAAGGACTTCCATAATTCACGGGGAGCCCTGTGTGGCACAAACGTTTAACTCATTCTGCTGCTGACTCAAAGGTTGTGGGTTCAAACCCACCTAGAAGTGCTTCCGAAGAAAGGCCTGGTGATCTACTTAAAAAAAAACCCCAGCCGTTTAAAAAGCTTACAGAGATCACAGGGAGTCTGTGTGGCAATACCTAGGAGAAGACGTTTAACCAGGGCTGTGAAACTCATGCACAATGAAAATTGTAAAACAGCGCTGGAGGAAAAAAAGACTTCAACCCGTGGAAAGATGCTCCATGCTCATGGATTAACGACTCGATATTGTTTAGAAGGCAGTGTCATAGTTGATTGGAAACTATCATCTTCCCGCACAAACACAGCAGGACTAACAAAAGGGAAAACTGCTCGGCTTTGCAGGACTCCGCCCTGGGGGGCAGAGGGCAACTGTACACAGGCAGGAATCGAAGAAAAGACGAGTCGCGTCAAACTCGATCGCAAACGCACTGACACTGAGTTACTTCTGATTCCTCACACTGTAGGACAGGTAGAACAGCCCTGTGGGTTTCAGAGGCTGTAACTCTTGACAAGAGCAGATGCCTCATTGTTCTTCCCTGGAGCAACTGGTGTGTTTGACCTACTGGCCTTGAACACTGGGGAAGCGCCCAAGACAAAGAGCTTGGTTCCCTAACCTCCACACCTGCACAAAGGGACAGGCCCAGACCTCCTGCACTAAAATCATCCACAAAGAACTTCCCTGAGGATCCCCATGGCACACCTCCCCCATCCAAACCTTGTCGCTGCCAGCCTGCTGAGAACTGCTGAGAAGGGCCCTGGTGTTGAGTTT